CTGACATGGTACAGAAACTAGTTAGTATATTCTTCTGTGCATGCCTGTTACTTGCCTTCAGAAGAAATAAGTTATTAGATAATTACTTTTTTGGCAGTTTGTCAGATTTTCCCTCGGTAAAGACAGAAGACCTATTAAATTATCTGAATTTGACGGGACGATTTCAGTTTGATTTTGTATATATTAAGATTTTTAGTACGGTAGTAAAACGGCGAAAAATCGCTAAATCAGGTCAGTGGAAAATTATCTGCTGATCTACTATTACAATCGTACAGTCGATATTTTCGACTGTTATCATCAATATTCTATAAAAATTTAAATTGATTTAAATAAATCATAATTTTAAATAGTTATTGTGAGACTCTTGTCTATGTTAATATACTTTGACCTATGGTAGTATAATATATTTAATGTATCTAAATCGAATATATTAGCGCCTTTTGTTATTATATCTTTGAACTGACTTCCATCACAGATAATTACGATTTTCAAAAGGCTAGAATTATTTGATTTTAGGAAAACACTTTATTTAATATTGGTTTTATTATTACTCATCTTTAAAAATATGAAAATCTTGTCTGCCTTTGATATTTAACATTTTGAAACTAAGTCTTTTCCATATCAATACTTACTTTTTGTTCGTGGATATCAAAAAGTGTTTTTCTGTGTTTACAACTTCCATTTAAAGAAATCTTGCCAATATCAGATCAATAAATAAATTGCGAAAACCTTTCAAATTTCTTTAAAGATGAATATATAAACGTTTATGTGATTTTATTTGCGAAAACTGACGGTGCAAAATCAGTGTTGCTCATACGCTAAAGTGGTTGAAATTGTTTTCTATTGTGTCCATTAGCCGCAAATTTGTTGAAGCGTTATCCATTCAAATAAGCAATCTAACCGCTAATAGATGCCGAACTCAAAACTGCAATTTATCAAATTGCAATAAAATATTTTTGCCTCAAATGGATTGCTTGGCCCACAACAAACTGCAGTGAATATGCAGAAAATCCGCTGACGCACTCTGCATGCACCGACAGATTGTTGCACAAATTCGCAATGAATTGCAAAAATCGAAAAATTAAACGATGTAAATGGTGAGATATCACTTTTCCCCAAACAAGTTCTATATAAATTTATTTTGCTATTTTAGAACTCAAGTTAAACAAATATCATATCAAATAGGTGTATTCGTAATACTCGAATTTAAATATGAAATTTATTACAAAATGAGAATAATTTGTGGAATCCTTAAACTTAGAAACTCGTAAATTGTTTTGGTGTTTTAAATATTTAAAAGGAGAACAAAGGTAACATTTCTGAATAAATCGGCCAATACAACATCAAAGCAAGGACAAAAGAAGTTCACATTTTATTGCTAACAGAAGTTTTGTGGCATTTTTGGAATTTTGAATTTTCTTGTGCTTTTTATAATTTTTCCACTTTATTTAGTTTATATTTTCAGTATGGCAACAGCGTTCAACTTTCATTTTAACAAGTCCTTGCCATGTTTTATCCTTTTGTGTTATTCTTTGTTTTATTTTTTTTGTTTTTTTTTGTTGATTTGTTTGGCTTTGTTTTATTTAATTTTATTTTTGTTTATGTATTTGCACTTTGCACCCTATACCTTTCAGTACCCTAGGCAATGAGGCAATGAGGCATACTTTCAGGCGTCTTCGTGTCGCGCCTATATGACGTCCATAGAACAAAGTAATAAGTGCATGTGAGGCAAGTATGCACGATATTCCATGAATGAACAAAAATAATGCCGACACGAAATTCAAGCCATAAACTTTGAAAAGTGCTAACCGTGTAAGCGCTGCAACTGGCGTTTCCTGATAGCAACGAAACAAAAACCGCAATTCACTTTACTTACCGCTCAGCAAGCACGAGTCGCTCGCTTTAAGGTTGCGTGTTAGTAATCTCAATAAAATATATATTATATATTATTAAATTTAGTCTTTGTGAGTAGAGTTTCGAGGGTAAAACGAATTAGCCAATTTTAGCGACTTTTGCGGAGTTTCGCTTGCATCTGCATGTACGCCTGTCTCACGAAATGACTCACAAATGTAACAGAAAATGTATTGCAATATTTAAATCATATTGAAATGTATTCTAACAATACAAAGCACGAGTGAAATGGAATACTTTCGGAATAAATTGAGCCAGAATGTCAGAATGTTTTGGGTTTTTCACTATTTTTCTAGAGTAAATTGAATAAATGCATATGCGTATAAATTAAAGTTTAATAAACAGAAATGCTTCTGACACATGCTCGCATATGCATTATGCATTTAGCATTTATTAAACTACATATGCAGATTTCCCAACAAGACAAAAATATGAAGGATAACAAAAAGTATTTCACTACAATGTATTCAAAGAACATATGGCGTAGGTTATGGTTATGGCGTTACGACGTTATGGCGTTACGGCCAAGTAAACAAAAGATAACTAGAAAGCATTGCATACATGTAGGCGTTAGCAAAATACAGATTTCGTATAAAAAACAATGCAGAACAGAACGAAGCAAAACAAAACACCATTTTGTGTGAAATGCACTGTCACACGTACACATATACACACTGGCGAACAGACGAACAGACCAGTGGAACAGAACCTAAAGCCTTTAAGTTCGCTTTCACATTCTGAACTTTTCCTGCTTTGTGCCATTACAAGGCAATGAACTTTAGGAAACGCGTTGTCTTACTGCTGCTGCAGTCAACACCACTGCCGCGGTCGCGGTTGTTGCCGTCACTGTCGCTTCTAGTTTTGTTCATATTTCACTGTTTCTGGGTTGTGAGTCACGTGAATCGTTGTCTTTGCGTGAAACGTGGTAGTGACAACAAAACCACATGGCAAATAGGGGTGCAGCAGTTAACATTTTCATTCTACGAACAAGGCGTGTGTCAGCTCTGTGTTGCCTTTGTTGCTTTTGTTGTTATTGTTGTGGTTATTGTTATAAATCCCTTAACCGACCTATGCTGTCACAATAACAAATGTGGTTTCATATACATTGTGACCGAAAAGTTTCCGGAAATTTTAAATAAAACGCAAAATTCTTAATCTTCATCAATATTTATTTTATCTCCTTAAAAATATGCTCCATTAGAAGCGATACACAAATGCCAACGTTTCTTCCAATCATCAAAACATTTTTATAGGCGCTTTCCGGTATGGCTTTGAGTTCCCTCTTCGAATTCTGTTTTACGTCTTCTATGGATTCAAAACGCGTTCCTCTGAGTGGTAATTTGAGTTTGGGAAACAGGAAAAAGTCACACGGTGCAAGATCAGGTGAATACGGTGGCTGTTCGATGGTATTTATTGAATGTTTGGCCTTAAAATCGTTGATAATGTTGAACAAATTGAGGTGAATCGGAACAAGCCGGGCGTTGACACGTCGCATACACAAATTTTCCACCAAAATCAAACGAGCCATCTCACGACCGATGCCTAGCTCTCGTGCTATCTCTCTAACACTCACATGAGGATTTTTGAACACGATTTCCTTTGCCTTTTCAATGTTTTCGTCGGTGGTAGAGGTCGAAGGTCGTCCAGAACGCGGCATGTCTTCGACGGTCGTACGACCGTCCTGAAAGGCTTTGTACCACTCATAAACTTGAGTTTTCGATAAAACTGATTCCCCATAAGCCTTTTGTAGCATTCGCAACGATTCTGCACACGAAATTTCGTTCGAAACACAAAATTTGATGCAAACTCTTTGTTCAATATTTTTTTCCATTGTTTTTTTCGCAACGCACTACTGAGGTGAACTGGTTTCAACAGCTGCCGTAAACGAACTGTCTGACAGATCGCGCTCATTTTTGGCATAGTAATTGTCCTTAATTGCTGCCAAACTACATAACTTAAAATATCGAAAAATATACAGCGCGCGAATTTTAAATGAGAACCTCCGAAAACCTTTCGGTCACAATGTAAATAATTTGTGATTATAAAATAAATATCAGCATTTAAAGCAATTTTAATATATATCCAGAATTACACTTTTTTGTTGAGTTAACAAATTGTATTGTTCCAAAGTATTGTAAAAACTCTCTAATGGAAATGTAATGTGATGAAACTCATAAAGAAACCATTTTTTCTTCAAAATAAAGCGTTTTCTTTAGATGTAATTGTAAATCGGTCTGTTTCAACCGACGGGCACAATTGTGTCACAGCAGTATGGTCCTGCCTTCACAGTCCCTTCAATACTTCAAAACATATAATGCTATCTGATGCTTTAAAATAAGTAGTCAGAAGTCCATTTTTAAATTATATTATTAAATATGAAAAATCAAACAAACAATATACATAAAGATTGTCGAAACAGAAAAATGGTATTTCTGGAGTAACCTGAAAGCAGGAAAAACAAAAAGAAACTTTTAAATATCCAAATGCATTTTCTACAACCCTTCTGCATTTCGAAAGTTTGTAGTTATAATTTTTTTTAACTGGTACCATATCAACATTGTATGGATATGGTTTTATTAAAGTTTAATTTAGCATAAATGTCAAATCTGCTATATTGCATATATATGTTTCTCTTATTTTCCTTAAATAAGTAGCAACTATCTAACATCTTTTTCAATTTATGTTAGATATTTCATATATATGGTATGTATATGAATTATCATAGTGTCAAGGAGTTCCCACATTAATATTTACATGAAACGGTGACTAGTAACTGTTATTAATTTAAAACAGAATGAAAACAATAATCCACATACCTGAAATCCACTAAAGTTAAAACTATTGAACGCCAACCTATATAGTTATAATAATCATGCCATTTCCAATATTCGATTTGTCAACAAAACACATTTGATTTCATTAATTTGGGGCAATATGAACACTTTCCAAATTAACTTAATTTCATTTTAATGAAATTAAGGAAATTTGTCTGTCTGAACATGGTATAAGACGCCAATTTAAATTTATTTAATTTTAATTAAAATATAATACAAACATCTGGCAGTACTGAATTTTCCTTTTCGGCCAGCTATTGGCTTTGCAAGAAAACGAATAAGCACATCAAGTTCAGTAGGTTGCGATTGTTTGTTGATGGTGGGTTGTGATTAAATTTTATTAATGCGTCGACTTGAAAGCATGTATGATGGCTAAGCTGGAATTGATAACAATTATCATCGGAATATTATGTGCAAGATTATCTCTTACAAGTACTGAAAAAGAATTTGCAGACTGGACGGAAATAAAAACACAAGACGATGCAGTGCTCTTTCGCACTATAGCGGGTAAGTCAAATAACAAGAACAGAAATGATTCACATTTTGGAAAACTATTCAAGCAAATCAAAATTGCAGATATTTCCGCGCTTTTGAAACTTGATGTAGATGAATTAAGTATAGCTGATACTGGTTTAAAGGGATTAGATACTTTGAAGTATCTAAATTTAACCGGTGATGAACTAACTGAGTTGAGATTAAATAACGGAAACTTAGAAAATTTAGATGCAAGTCACAATTTTTTAAAGAAATTAACACGCACCCAATTGGAAAATCTGACGAATTTAACATATGCAAATTTCTCATTTAATCAAATCAGAGAAATAGAGGAAAATGCATTTAAACCTTTAAAGAAGTTGCAATATCTTAATCTGAATAATAATGAATTGAAGAGAGATGTGATTGGCACTTGCGATAAGCTGAAGTATCTATCAATGAGCGATAATCTAATTAAAATTGTAATTTGAAGTGAATTTCTTCAATTAAAAACGAAACCAATCAATTTTGCTTTAACATTTCAGCTTTCGTCGAGTAACTATCGCGGCATGACGGCAATGGAGCACCTCGTAATAACCGAAAACCCACTGCGTGAAATTGAAAATCGTGCTTTCGCTTATATGCCACGCTTACGCATCCTGAATATATCAGAAAATAGTTTAGAACAAATTTCGCCTATGGTTTTCTTTGGCATGAAACGTGTACCACTACAACAGCTTGACTTAAGCTTCAATAATCTGTTGAGTCTAACATCCAACCAATTTGAGCACATACCAAAATTGCAAATCTTGAATATATCCGACAATCGCTTAAAGTCTTTGGAAACGACAACCTTCGCAGGACTAACATCACTGCGTAAACTTTTTCTTCACAACAATGACATCAAAGATATCAAAGCGAATACTTTCGCTAATTTAGTTTCACTTAATACCTTGGACCTATCCAGTAATAATATCGAAAGTATTGAGGCGAATGCCTTTGGAGCTGTTATGTTGCCAAGACTGCGTGAGCTGCAACTAAAGGCGAATAATTTAAAACAGTTAGATCCGTTGACATTTTCATCCTTACCACATCTGGAATATTTGTCTTTAGCTTACAATGAACTTACTACCTTGGATGTGCGCATGTTCGCACCCATGCGTCGTATACAGAAATTGCATTTGGGACATAACCAACTGGAAGAAATTAATGCATCGGTTTTGGAAAGCTGGTCAAATTTATCGGAAATGCTTATAGATAACAATAAATTAACATTTCTTCCAGAAATAAATGGCATCTTTCCGAATTTACGTAAGGTCTCAATTGAAGGTAATCCCTGGCAGTGTCCATGCTATGATGAGTTGATTAAAATATTAAATAAAAATAATATCGAATATGTGCGCATGACAAGTCCATTTTACAAAGGCGAGAAACCGTTTTGCTTTGTTACTCCTGTAGAGTACTGCGTGCAGGATATCAAAGCTGTGCGAGCTCATGGCATACCAGAAGGGTTTGAGGTGGCCTCTGATGACTCCAGTAATGTAAATGACGACTAAGTAATGAAATTTGTAAATTTTATATTAAAAATAAAGACTGATTTTTAGGGAGTGAGAGTACACGTTTGGATAAAATTAATTTGGAGAAGTAGAGAATGTCTTCTCTTGATTGAGTCAAGGTGGTATGTGTTACAAAAGTTATAGGGTTATTATCTCTTTTCGAATAAGGTCATATGATGTTTTTGTTGTTGTGGTAACTCGTATGGATCTGTTGCAAAATTCTACTTGGGGAGTGGTGAACGCCGTGGTTAACGAGTGGCTCCGGACGTAAACCCGGCCGGCCTTGGAGCAAATCATTTTCTTTAATGTTTAATTATGATGTTTGAGAATACTTATTTTATTCAGAAGATAGTTATCATTAGGGGCTAGATAAGGAATGTACCTCTTGTAGGGAAATAAATTATTAATAAAAAAAATATATACTAGAATAAATACTACTATTAGATATGTATTAATAAAATTTAAAATTAATGCTCTAATATGGAAATTATAAGAAGAATACTAAGGTGAACGAATAACGCAACACATTTGTGCATTATACAAGCACCAGTTTGTATAGATCTTTAGTTCTATATAAATACCATAAGTACCTACTTAATAAGTGACTCATTGTTTAGGTACAGAGATATTTAATATAAATTGTAGTTAAGGCGTATATTGTGATGCCTTTTCTAGGTGAAGTGGATGAAGTCGAAATGTGTTTACTATAGAATCATTATTTTTCTTTCAAACTAAACACATGATGCCTTGGATTACTATCTAGTGTGGCATATATTACTGTGTATACCACATACATATATTGTGTACTATATATGGATTATGTACTATATTCACGCATGTACATGGACTACGTAATGGATAAATTTTCAGAGTATAAGTTATCTATTTTTAATATGAAGTCCTTATATTATTTAATTTTGAGATAAATTTTAAATTGAGAGATTTTAAATGCTCATATTACGCTATTAAGGTGATGAAATAAATCGTAATACATAGCTTACGATTTATAATACATTGTTTTAACTGATCGTAAAATACCGACATAAACTATGTAACAGAAAAGATGGACTGATATTAGTCTGGGGATCAGACGGAGAATTATCATTGCTAATAGATGCTACTATGATTTCAGTAGGTAATTGATATGTAGAACTCTCTCTCTACAAACAAAACTTAAACTCCATAGGTCGAAATGTCTCTCCGGTGCTTCTGTATGGCGCAAAAGCATAGACGTTATCATAGAATGATGAAGCAGCATTGACTGTTTTGAGAGAAATGTTCTTCGTGTATCTTTGGACCTTTACGAGTTTGTAATGACTGCTGCATGCGAATGAACTCGAGCTGTATGAGCTCTATCGCGGAAATTGTATAAATCAGCGAATTAACATCCAGCGACTTCGCTGTCGTGAGAATGGGTGAAGATGTTCCAGTGAAAATTTTATTTAAAGCAGTAGTTGGAGGAAGAAGGCGTAAAAGCAGACCGTAGCATCGGTGAAGTGATCGAATTGGGGGAGTACTAATCGGACTTGAACGTATGAGTCTAAAGAAGGCGCGTACGCAGCAGACTCGCCTGCAGAGATATGCTGCGTGAGGTCGAAACTCGGTAACGGGTTGTTATGGCCAAATACGGCCTAAAGGTATGCCGATGTATATAACCGCTCTTTAACGCCTGGACTGGATTATTGCTTATCACTTCATCAGGGTAAGCAATAATTGAACTCAGTTCTGCATACCTCTCCGAGGAGCCTGTAACCATTCTGAGATTTGATAACGCGGTATTGGTAAGTCTGTCAGTTTATGTAAATAATTTCATTTAAGTGCTACAGAATTTAAGTGAGGTAAATAATAAACAAAAACTTAAATTTAATAATTCAAATATTTCAGTACATTTTTTACTTTTTTATATATTTGAGATTTTTTATAAATAAAATTTTTTAAATTATTGTTTTAGCGCCAAAATCAATTACACAAATCAAAACAAAATTTTGTGAACAAAAACAGCTGACATGTACATTAAGACTGAAAAGTTTTCGGAAATTCTCATTTAAAATTCGCGCGCTGTATATTTTTCGATATTTTAA